GTGGAGGAGGAGGCAGAAGAGGAAAAGGAGGTGGAGGAAGAGGAAGAGTAGGAGGAGGAGGAGTATGGGAGGGGACAGGGAGGAGAAGGAAGAGAGGTTTAAGGAGGAGGAGGAAGAAGGGGAGGAGGAGGAGGGAGAGAGGAAAGAGGAGGAGATGGGAAGGGAGGAGAAGAAGAAAGAGGAGGAAGAGGATGGATTAGAAAGAGGAGGAGGAGGAATAGAAGGAAGAAGATAAGGATGAGGAGGAAGGGGAGGAGGGGAGGTAAAGGGAGAGGGTCATTGCAAATTTGCTTGCTTATTCTGCGTTTATGATACCCATTTCTTTTGATGGGGTGGCTGTTCAGCCAACGGCCGTTTTCTTACTCTCCCCATTCCTGTTCATTTATTCCTTTCCTTTTTTTGTCTATTCTCCCTCTTCTCTTCCGTTTTCTTTTCCTACTACTCTCATTCCTCCCTCCACCTCCTCCTATTCTTCCTCCTTGTTCATCTTTGTCCATACTATCTACTACCTAACTGCAATTCTTTCTCCTATTCCTACTTTTCACCTTCCCCCTCCATTTATTCCCTCTCCCCACTCCCCTCCTCAGTCCCAGCGACCCTCATGTTTAATCCTAATAGATTATAGATAAATTCTTCTTCATAAAAGGACTCACGCCGTGCTTTCTCCCGCGGCTGCCGAGACGTCCCCCGGAGACGCGAGTCTGACGGAGCCTTTGATTTGAGGCATTTTGTTTGAGAATATTGATGCTGCCGCGACCTCGATGGGGAGGCAAGTGGTGCTGCAGCTTGGGTTTGCGCGGCTTCGCTTCTTCTTTTCTCGTCCTCTTCGTCTCCTCCTTCCCGCAGGAACTCACACAAGCACATACATATTCATGCCAAATGCACGCACACACACATTAACAGACACACACACGCGCACGCACGAACGCACGCAGGCACACACACACACACACACACACACACACAACCCCCACCCTTTCCCCATCAACACACTGTCCCTCCTTAACTTCGACTAAAACAGAAAGATAAAATGCAGAAGCCATCTAGAGAAATTTCCTTCGATCAAGGAAGCCAAACACATTCCGCGAAACGCACCAGAAATCGGTGAAATTAGTGTGTCAAAGCTTTGCCTAAGTACACACTGTCTCCTTCCTCATTTTCTTCTTCGTCTTGCTCTTCTTCTTCCCTTTTCTTCTTCTTCTTCTTCTTCTTCTTGTTTCTTTTCCTTCATGTTTTTCTTCTTCCTTTTCCTTCGTCTTCTTCATCTTCTTCTGTTTCTTCTCCTTCATGTTTTCCTTCTTCTTCATCTTCTTCTTCTTCTGTTTCTTCTCCTTCATGTTTTTCTTCTTCGTCTTCTTCTTCATTATCTTATTTTCTTTTACCTCCTCTCCTCCTCCTCCTCCTCTTCTTCTTTTCTTTCCTTCCTCTTCTTTTGCTGTTATCGATTCGTCCTCACCTTGTTCCTCTCTTTCTTTAACTTCTTTCGCTTTTCTCCTTCATCTTTTCCTTCTTTCTTTCCCCTTAATCCTCAGGGAAACAAGACAGGGAAAAATGCCTCGAGGGGTTTCTCGAGGAAGAAACTCGAGATCAGAAATTAGGAAAATGGCGCGCTGTC